GAGTTGGCTCCTCCCTTCTTTGGGGAAGGTAGCCTTCAGTGCATATTTATTGATTGTTTTTACTGTCTAGACATATGATTGAGATAAGATGTGATTATAATATAGATATAAGATTTATAGGTTATAAATAGTACTTGCTAATACTATTAATTCTTATTAAGAATTTGACTTAATCCTTACTGGAAATCGATTGAATGTTTCAATAGTTTTTTAATTAAGCTATTCTCCTCGAAGCTTCTTGATCCTTGAGAAATCATGCACAAAGTCACGTAGACACCTTAGGCCCTATGGTGTACGTGATCATAGGTGGCATTGTCATATAGGATCCAAATGTAATATATAATGAATCTGTAGTGATTCTGATATAATTTTGATAGGATTTAGAAATAATACATTTCTTAGATAATAATGTTATAGTGGGTAAAATTTCGCACACTAGGGACGTCACTTGCCCCAAATACTGCACACGTAGCTGCTATAGTGTCAATGCTGGGGGTGTCACGTGGCCAGGTATTGTACACGTAGAAGCTATAGTGTCAATGCTGGGGTGTCACGTGGCAAGGTACTGTACACGTAGGTGCTATAGTGTCAATGCTGGGGTGTTACGTGGCAAGGTACTGTACACGTAGGTGCTATAGTGTCAATGCTGGGGTGTCACGTGGCAAGGTACTGTACACGTAGGTGCTATAGTGTCAATGCTGGGGTGTCACGTGGCAAGGTACTGTACACGTAGGTGCTATAGTGTCAATGCTGGGGTGTCACGTGGCCAGGTATTGTACACGTAGAAGCTATAGTGTCAATACTAGAGGTGTCACGTGGCCAGGTATTGTACACGTAGAAGCTATAGTGTCAATGCTGGGGGGTGTCACGTGGCCAGGTACTGCTCACGTAGGTGCTATAGTGTCAACGCTGGGGACGTCACGTGGTCAGGTACTGCACAAGCAACAACTATTTTTGTGCAGTGTGTGGTGAATCTCATAAATCTGAGGTGTGTTTTAAGTGCATAAGGAAACTACACCCAGTAAGTGAAAAATGCATAAATTGTTTAAAGCCGTGTTCAAGCTTGACACCTTGACCGTGTCAAACGACCAGTTGTTTACCCGACAAGTCAGGCGCAGGGCCGCTCCAACCCTGGAGGAAGGATGCAAGGTATTGTTGCAGGCTCTACTTCCTGTACAGAACCATCTGGATGTTGTGTTTGTACCAGCTGGTTACCAAACACTTCACCATCTGCCAAACCACCAAGTGCACCAGGGAGCCAGACATCAGGTTCCTGTTCAACCAGCTGCACGTCGAGTGCCAGAAACCTGCCACCCGGGGGTGTCGACTCGTCAAGTGCCAGGAACCTACCACCCGGGGGTGTCGACTCGTCAAGTGCCAGGAACCTACCACCCGGGGGTGTTGACACATCAAGTGCCAGGAACCAACCACCCGGGGGTGTTGACACATCAAGTGCCAGGAGCCTGCCACCCGGGGGGTGTCGACTCGTCAAGTGCCAGGAACCTACCACCCGGGGGTGTCGACGCGTCAAGTGCCAGGAACCTACCACCCGGGGGTGTCGACTCGTTGAGTGCCAGGAACCTACCACCCGGGGGTGTTGACACATCAAGTGCCAGGAGCCTACCACCCGGGGGTGTTGACACATCAAGTGCCAGGAACCTACCACCCGGGGGTGTTGACACATCAAGTGCCAGGAGCCTGTGGGTGTTGACACATCAAGTGCCAGGAGCCTGCTACCCGGGGGTGTCGTCATGTTAAGTGCCAGGAACCTAACACCTAGAGGTATCGACATGTTAAGTGCCAGGAACCTGCCACCTAAAGGTGTCGACATGTTAAGTGCCAGGAACCTGCCACCTGAAGGTGTCGACATGTTAAGTGCCAGGAACCTGCCACCTGAAGGTGTCGACATGTTAAGTGCCAGGAACCTACCACCTGAGGGTGTCGACACGTCAAGTGCCAGGAGCCTTCCACTCAAGGGTGTCGACTCGTCAAGTGCCAGGAGCCTTCCACTCAAGGGTGTCGACACGTCAAGTGCCAGGAACCTGCCACCTGGGGGTGTCGACACCACACTCGATTTTCCCTCCATACCACCATGAAGAGTGGTTGCCAAGTGTTGCCACCAGCTCCATTCGCTGTACAGAGCCATCTGGAGGTGATGATCGCTCCAGCTGGCTACCAAACTCCCCACCTGTTAATTCCGAAGTGCACAAGAGGACCAGTGCCAGACCAAAGACTCCTGCCATTACCCCAGCTCCTCCACTAGCACCAGGTGCTGTAACTTCTGCCAGCGGTGGGCCTGCCCTTGATGCAGAATGGCCACTCCCCGGTTCTGCCAACGGTAGTCCTAGCTGCCCCTGATGTAGAAAGGCCATTTCCCGGTTCTGGGACACTGTCATCTACTGTGGGGGGGACCGCTCACGGCTGGACCCCACAGTCATCTGGAAGTGGGGGTTATGGAACAGAATTAAGATGAAATGATCGCAACCTCAGCCTCCCTAGCAACTCGCCCTTGGGTCGCTCTGCTGATCCAGCAGCGGCTGCCCTTCGTGAACGGTGGCAGGAACACCAGCAGCTGGCGAATCAACTGCAAGAGCAGCTGCAACATGAGAAAAAATCCTCCAAAGGTATTGCAGAGCTGCTCATGTGCGTGAGGTAACTTGTAAGCAATGACCGCCACCTCTCCCTCACCCCTCCCAATGAACCCTCCCTCCCCAACCCCCCTACAACCCCTGAACCCTCCCTCCCCAGCCCCCCTACAACCCTAGAACCCCCCTCCCTCCGCCTCTGAACCCTCCAAACATGTGTTCTGTTACCAATTAAATGAAACTTCTAGTGATCTTGTATCCTTGTGTAGTGGAACCCTTCCATGCAGGTAAACTGCCAAAGCTGTGCTAGGCTATATTGAAAACGACTCCTGAGGTTATCTTGAGATGATTTCGGGCTTTAGTGTCTCCGCGGCCCGGTCCTCGATCAGGCCTCCACCCCCAAGAAGCAGCCCGTGACAGCTGACTAACACCCAGGTACCTATTTTACTGCTAGGTAACAGGGGCATAGGGTGAAAGAAACTCTGCCCGTTGTTTCTCGCCGGCGCCTGGGATCGAACCCAGGACCACAGGATCACAAGTCCCGCGTGCTGTCCGCTCGGCCGACCGGCACCCTCTATAGATAAAAAGGATACAAAAAGTGTACTTGACAATTGGAGGCAAATGTATAACATTGGTAATATTCTAAGACATGTTCCTGGATTTGTATCATAGTGAAATAGATAATACGCATTAAATGGACTAATAATATCAATCTACATAATGCTTACTTTAAATGCACAAATAACTAAACTATTCATCCTTAGCTGGAACATTGCATCCATGAATAAAAATGTTCTCTGACTTAAATCACAAAGTAACAACTGAAAACATTGATATTATATGTCTTGAGGAGTGCAGAGTTCCTGCAAGATCCTCACCCCCAAAATTGCCCTCATTTGTTTCCTGCAACCTCAGATTTCTCCTACCACCCCCTTCCTTTTGTGTTTTTTGTGCTTTGCAAAAATTGCCCTCATTTGTTTCTTACAACATTAGATCCAGTAACTCTTGCATTTTATACATCAAGCAATCCCTCCCCCCTCAATTTCCTCCAGAGAAACAAACTGAGGAGATAACAATATCATGGAGTGAGGATCTATGTGGGCAACTCTATCCTCAATGAATTTAATTTATATGCTCCAGCAGGAAAGTTTAATTATATTGATCTTCCAGCCTACGCTCAAGCAGAGCTCCCAATCATTCTTGGTGACTACAATGCTAGACACAAGGACATTGGTTGCTCTTGCTTCAGTAACGGGAATGGGAATAAACTGCTGTCGCTACTAAATATTCACGAAGATGTGCAGATTATTGGCGACCTAAATGTTCAAGCTCTTTTTGCCAAGGCCCTAGCCAAGGCGCGGGAGGGCATGACAGAGCTCAGACAAGATTACTGAAAACTTTTGTTAACTGTCTCAACGGTCACACATCCTCTGCCAGGCATGGAAGGATACCAAAGAATTAAAGGTGATAAGATCTGCCAAATGTCACACCCTCACCCTCTACACACACAAAAAAGGATGGATGAAGGGAAAGATGGATGAATAGAATGAAGATGAAAAGGTGGATGGATAGATTTCCACCAGTCTCCGTGGTGTAGTGGTAAGACACTCGCCTGGCGTTCCGCGAGCGCTTTGTCATGGGTTCGTATCCTGGCCGGGGAGGATTTACTGGGCGCAAATCGTTAACTGTAGCCTCTGTTTAACTCAACAGTAAAATGGGTACTTGGTTGTAACAACGATTCTTCGCGGCGGGGATAGTATTCCAGGGACTTGTCCGAAACGCTACGCGTACTAGTGGCTTTACAAGAATGTAACAACTCTTGTATATATCTAAAAAAAATGGATGGATAGAGGGAAAGATGGATGGATAGAGGGAAAGGAAAGATGGATAGGCAGATAAATGTGTATAATATTCCCCTTGTACAACTTCCAGATGAGTGTGAACATTGGCATCAAAGAGGGCTGCACACTGGCGTCGGCAGCAGCAATCAACCCACATAGCGAGAAAGCTTTTCTTCGTGTAGGTTACAAAGTCGACAAAACACTTGACTTTAACACCGTGGAGGAAGTTCTGCTTGATTTGTCCCACGTGAGCCACACGGTCCTCAAGGTCATGACCAAAGTCCTCTCGCCAATCACCACATCGTCATAGTTGGGAAGCAACAAGCAACAACTGGTTTCTCAGTATCTAATACTTTGTTTCCTCTGTAATGTTTGAGTGTAGAAATTGTTTAAGATCAGTAATCAAACACAAACACAACACACACGCAAACACAAACACATGTCGATTGATAACCGAGGAAGCGTTTACCTTCATTTAATGCCTTGTTAACCTCACAGTAAAAGAGGAGTTAGAACTGATGTTGAGTGTATCCTGGGGATAGTCAGTAGTGGACCTGGTATATATGACAGATAATAGGTCGGGAGTCCTCATTTCGGGAGTTTAAATAGGTCGGGAGGTATAGTGTCGGCACTGGAGGCGTGACATAGCCAGGTACTGCATACATAGGTGCCATTGTGTCAGCACTGGGGGTGTCACGTGACCAGGTACTGTACACATAGGTGCTATAAATGTCAGCACTGGGGGGACGTCACGTGGCCAGGTACTGCACAAGCAAAATAAATTTTGTGCAGTGTGTGGTGCATCTAATAATTCTGATGTGTGTTTTAAACGCATAAAGGAACATAACCCAGTAAAATAAAAATACATGAATTGTGGCATGAGCGGTGTTCAAGCTTGGCACCTTGACTGTGTCAAACGACCAATTGTTTACCGTAGGGCGCCTGGCCGCTCCCACCCTGGAGGAAGGTTGCCAGGTACTGCTGCAGGCTCTACTCCCTGTAGATTCCATCTGGACGTTGTATTCGTAACAGCTGGTTACCAAACACTTCACCATCTGCCAAACCACCAAGTGCACCAGGGAGCCAGACATCAGGTTCCTGTCCTGTTCCTGCACGTCGAGTGCCAGGAACCTGCCACCCGGGGGTGTCGACACGTCCAGTGCCAGAAACCTACCACCCAGGGGTGTCGACACATCGAGTGCCTGAAACCTACCACCCGGGGGTGCCGACACCACACTCACCTTCCCCTCCACACCACCATGAAGAGTGGTTGCCAAACGCTGCCACCAGCTCCACTCGCTGTACAGAGCTATCTGGAGGTGATGTTCGCTCCTGCTGGCCACCAAACTCACCATCTGTTAATTCCGAAGTGCACAAAGGGACCGCTGCCAGACCGGAGACTCTTGCCAACACCCCAGCTCCTCCACAAGTACTAGGTGCTGTAACGTCTGCCAGCGGTGGGCCTGCCCCTGATGCAGATTACCACTCCCCAGTTCTGCCAGTGGCGGGCCTGCTCCTGATGTAGAATGGCCACTCCCTGGTTCTGGGACACTGCATGTCACCTACTGTGGGGGAACCGCTCACAGCTGGACCCCACAGTCAAATGGAAGTGGAGGATAAGGAACAGGATTAAGATGAGATGGATCGCAACCTCAGCCTCCCTAGCAACTCGCCCTTGGGTCGCTCCACTGATCCAGCAGCGACTGCCCTTTGTGAACGGTGGCAAGAACACCAGCAGCAGACGAAACGGCTGCAAGAGCAGCTGCAACATTAGAAAAAATCCACCAACGGTATTGCAGAGCTGCTCATGTGCATTGGGTAACTTGTAAGCAATGACCGCCACCTCTCCCTCACCCCCCCCTCTCTACCCCTGAACCCTCCAAACATGTGTTTCCCTGCAAATTAAATGAAACTTTTAGTAAATTTGAATCCTTGTGTAGTGGAAGCCTTCCACACAGGTAAACTGCCAAAGCCGTGCTAAGCTATATTAAAAACGACTCTATACATAAAAAGGACAGAAAAAATGTACTTGATAATTTAAGGCAAATGTGCGTTACATTAGTAATATTCTAAGACATGTTTCTGGACTTATATCTTATGGAAATAAATAATATATATTAAGTGGACTAATAATATCAGTCTATATAATGCTTACTTTAAATACACAAATAACTAAGTTATTAATCCTTAGCTGGAACACTGCATCCATCAAAAAAGGTTCTCTGATCTACATCACGAAGTAACAAACGAACACATCGATATTGTATGTCTCCAGGAATGCAGATTTCATGCAAGACTCTCAACCCTAAAATTGCCCTCATTTGTTTCTTACAACATTAGATCCAGTAACTCTTACATTCTGTTACGAACCTTACTTCCTGTGGAGGTTGGTTTCGGTTATAAAATGTTGGTGGACACAGTGGAGAGTGTTTATTAGAATAAATCCACAGCTGAGATCAGAGAGGCCGCGAGTTACCAGTAATACTCCGCCCAGTAAAGTAGTGCCTTCTCAGCTGGAGGTTGTCAGAAATAATGTGAACTGGAATAGCCTAACTATATAAGAGAAAAATTGGCTCTGTCAAAAAGTATGCATGGGAAATATGGTAAATAAAATCCATAATGAGTTTGATTGCATCTATAAAGAATAGAGTATTAAGGGGCGATGATGCGAGAGAGGTGGACGCCATCTTGACTAAAGGGGAGGGTGTATCGCTGCCGTCCGTTCCTGCTATTTGAGGGTTTTTCTCCGGCTGTACAGTCAGATAAGCCTATCCTTGTATATAACCAGGGTTGCAAGATTGGGTAGAGTTGTATTACAGAAGTTGGAGAGGTTTTATAAGAGTCCAGGTTTCCTAGAGGCTTAAATATGTGTGTCACTGGATGATAGCGGTGGTAGCTGGATGCACGGTACCAGGTATGTGACGGTGAGCCGTGGGGTGGTCAGAGCCACTTGAGGTTATAATACAGTGATCTTATGTTGTGAGGAAAACGCCTTGTTGAATGTATTCATGTGTGACTTATAAGTAAAAATTTTTGACTTTTGTACTGGGTTATTTTCCTTGCTCCATGTTTTACCCCTAGACAACATTTTAAGGTCCACCACCACCAATTTCTTGATAGGTCTCTATGACAACAAAATCGTATCACTACTGATAACAAAAGTTAGACACAGGCCATGATATAATTGGGTAGTCTGTCCGAGAGCACCTTACTTATCGAACAGCCTGATCGAAAGCCTAATAAAAGTGGATAGCCTGTAGGTGTAACCTGACATAATAATTGTGAAGCTTATTTTTTCTCTTTAACTTGTGTAGAAATTTAGAATATTTTTAATATTGGTATAATATGAATATGTACTTTATTACTTATTTATGTACATGTTATTAATCTTTATGAAAAGTGTTTTAAGAAATTTTTGTGCGTGTTCTCGAGTGCAAAAAATTTACCAGTTGACAGGGCAGTCAAGTAAACTAAGCACTGTCCTCATCAGTTTTCAAAACAAATTCTCAGCATAAAAAGAGAAAGGTGGTGCAGAATCATCATTTTGTGTTGGAGTCTGCTGTATCTTAGCACACTAAAAGTGGATTTGGTAGCACAACAAATTGTCGACAATCCTAGTGTTGAGGGTTTGAAAGCGGCAAAAAAGTCTATCCTAGTGCTGTTGGAAAGCACTATGGACTATTATTGCACATGGGAATGGTGAAGACGGAACTGCTAAGAGAAATAATGATACACTGGGTAGATGAGCAAATTCTCCCACATGAAATATTAGAGCAGTCCCCATCCACCAGTGGTGCAAATGTTGTAACTACAGGAAAGGTAGAGACTCAGATGCAGTGGCAGGCAGAATTGGAACTAAAGACGTTGCAGTTTGAGGCAGAGCAAGCTCAGAAGAGGCTAGAGGCAGAGCAAGCTCAGAAGAGGATAGAGGCAGAGCAAGCTCAAGAACTAGCTATGAAGAGGTTAGAAGTGGAGCAAGCTCAGAAAAAATTAGAGTTACAGATTAGGCTAGCAGAATTGGGAATTAGATCAGAAAATACGGTGTTGACGATTTAGGAACACCTGGGCAGTTAAAGATTAACAAAAATGTCAAGTTTCCTCTATTCTGTGAGACTGACCCAGACCAGTTCTTCACTCATTTTGAAAAATAAGCACGGAGTATGGAATGGCCTGAACACAATGGGTATCTCTTCTTCAAGGTCAGTTGGTGGGAAAGGCACAAAAAATATTTGCAGCTATGCCTTTGAGTAACAGTTTTTTGACTATGAGAAGGTAAAAGCAGCCATCCTTACTGCTTTTCAACTTGTTCCTGAGGCTTATAGGCAAAAATTTAGACAACTGAGACGAGACCCAAGTCAAACCTTGGTAGAATTTGCACAAGAGAAATATCACATGTTTAATATTTATTTATTTACTTATTTATTTATTTATTTATTTATTTATTTATTTATTTATTTATTTATATATATACAAGAAGGTACATTGGGTTTGTGAGAATACATTGAATAGTACAGTATTTACAATCTTGTAAAGCCACTAGTACGCGCAGCGTTTCGGGCAGGTCCTTAATCTAACAGATAATTTTAAGTAGGTAATTTATATCAGAATTGATAAATGATAACAAATACATTGCAAGAGAAAAATGAGATGAGAGAGCTTAGTAAGTATATTAAAGCACATTGTTATATTAAAGCTCATTGATTACATTGACAGCTTGATTGGTAATTTAAACAAGATTAATAGACACCATACAGCAGATTGACAGCACATATAAGACAGCAATGATCACAATGGTAAGGATGCTCAGATTGGGTGCATAAAGATTGGGAGACTGGGTAGCAATAGATACAGATAAACAAGATTAATAAACACCATACAGCAGATTGGCAGCACATATAAGAAGACAGCAATGATCACAATGGTAAAGATGTTAAACAATAATAAACACCATACAGCAGATTGGCAGCACATATAAGAAGACAGCAATGATCACAATGGTAAAGATGTTCAAATTGGGAACATAAAGGTTGGGAGATTGGGTAGCAATAGATACAGTGCAATTTTAAGGCAAAATGTGAAAAACTATGAAGATGAAATTAGGTACTTTTTAGTATTGATTTTGAATGATGTAAAAGTTG